GAAATTAAGAGTGTATTATCAATAGCTTCCGATGGTGTAATTTCTTGATCATTCAATAACAAATATTCTTGATTATTCAATAATGAATGTTCTTGATTATTTGATACTAAGTGTTCTTCATTATTTGATAGTGAATGTTCTTGATTTGAATCAAATAAAAGTTCATCAATATCAGAAATTATAGTACCGTTTACTGAATCTCTTAATTCTTGTTGAGTCAAATCCTCTTCATAGTAAGCTAATTCTTTTTTAATGTTCGTTAAATAATAAGATCGAATCTTTGCTATTGATTCAATATGATAAACATCAAGGTTATGTCAATTATTTCCATAAAGCCATCCTAACATAGAAAAATTTCTTTTGCATTCTGCTTGAGAAAGTATTATAGAGAATAATTTGGTTGCAAGTTTAATTAATGGTTTTTCATCCTCATCAAATGTAAGTCACCAATTAAGCATCGTTTCACTTTCTTTTTTATATTCCATATCAAAAGAATCATCATTTCACTTATATTTTCTAAGATCAGCTAACAAATCTGAACATGAATACTCATCATTTCCTAAAGCTTTTCAATAATTAGCTACAATTTCACAAATTCGTCTAAATGTTCTTCTTTTTAATCCTAAACTATGATAGCCAGGATGTAAAAAATATCCAAGTAGATAAGCATCATGATCAAACTCTTTATATTGATAATTAAATATATTAATAGCATCATTTTTTAAAATAGTTTCTTCAGGTATCTGATTGATTGCAATAGCCAATTTGATATATTCAATATAACAATCAACCATTGTTGCAGTTTTAGATTCTACAACACTAATTGCATTCTTAATTGGCTTAAACATTTCTGAAACTAATTTGCATATTTGAAATAAATCCTCATTATCAATATGGTTAGATATGTTTTTATTAGTTAAAATATTAGAATGTTCATGCTTAATCTATATAATTAAATTTTTATAATAATTTTAGATATAATGTCTTTAAAAAAAATAAAAAATAAAAAATTACTTATTCAAATATAAGGTGTGCACATAATAGTGAATCAGTTGTATTCCAAAGAGAACACTATTGTGTTTTAATATATAATTTTAAATCACTACCTTTGATTTGTAAATTAGTTAATTCTTCTTTTAAAAGTGCATTGGCACAATGATTTTTATTAAAAAATCCTATGATCTCATTATTTTAAGAAATCAAATTTCCAATCAATTTAAGTTTTACTAAATCTGTAATGATTAAATTTAATGAATGTGCTGCATATCAAATATTTAAAATGTGTGGATATTTTTTATTAATTATTTGATATGCAACTCTAACATTGCTACCTCCATCTGTCACAATTCCAACAAATTTGTTAATACCTATATTTAAAATAATATTTTCGATTTCATTTGTAATATATATTCCAGTTTGTAAAATTTTGGAATAGTCTTCAACAAGATATTCATGTTGATTTGTAGTTGAAATTCTGTAATTATAAATCGAATTTCTACTAAGTGATGACTATCCATCGAGAGCAAGTGTTAGAAAGTTGCATTGTTCTAATTTCTCATTAATTTTCAAATTAATTTGTGTAGTTTCTTGTTCCAATAATCTATTAAAAAGTGTTATTCAGCTAGGTGGTGTATATTTTATATTAAGATGTTTAAATAAATCAACCATAAATGGATTACTAATAATATCAAATGATATGCCTGTCATAGTCCAAGCTTTTAAAACAACTTTGTCAATTTCATTTTGGTTATATAGCAATAGATCAAGTTGGTTTGTATGTTTTTAATTTGAGGTTTTTGTTCACTTGTAATTAATAATCTTATCCAAAAGTAATTTTTGCCAATATTCTTTTATATCTTTAGGAACATTATGACAAATATTTGCAAGATGAGCCTCCATTTCTGAAAGACATCCACAGCTCCAATATTTTGAACAATAATGACAAGTTGCACTATAATCACTTGTAACATTACTTGTTATATAATATTCCCAAATTTTTTCTTTTGGATGGTCTACACTTTTTCGTTTTAATTTATTATTATTTTTTTCTGATGTATCAATTTGAGATAATTGATTTGATATATTTAAATTTGTAAAAATCGATTCATTCATTATTGTAATAAACAAGTTCAAAGAGATAAAACAATCAATGTTTATATTGATCATATTATTTATCACTGATAAAATTATTATTGAATTACTGTAATAAAATTTCACTTTTATAATTCTAAATTTAATTATAATATATTGCAATTTTTGTAATTACTAAACAATAATATTTTTGTAAATTAAACTGTTTTGGTATTTAAATTTAATTAAGTTTACAATGCTAATCCATACCAAGTAACTATGTACTATTACCTGATGGATCTTCTTAGCTAATACAGAATGAAAATCATTATATCATGCATATAATTTAGAAAACATTAAAAACATTAGAGAACAAATTAATGATAACATAGCAAAAAGATGCTCTAAACTTCAATACAAATCTATATCAATGATTAACAGTATACTTAACCAATACTGTAACTTTATAAGATTTGACAACATCAAAACTGATACTGATATTATTACAAAAATTTCATTTATTAAATAACACATTCAGGATCATTTTGATCAATAGACCTCTTCTCATCATATTCAAACTTATATCTTTAACTCATTCTAGTTAGATAAATAGCAACCAAAACTGATATTAAATCTGACTGGTATCAACAGGCTCTTACTAACTTTACTGAAGAGGAAATTTCTATAACTCTAAATCAACTTCTTAACAACAAAGCCTGTGGCCCATCAGGTATTAGCTATAAAATGCTAAAACATACAGGCCCTACATTTATAATAGCTATAACTGTATTATTTAACAAATGTCTTGAACTAAAGCACATATCCAAGCAATGAAAAGAAAAAAGAATATTCCCAATATCCAAAAAACCTATATTTGATGACAACCTTACTAATACTAGACTTATTAGCCTTCTTGAATATATTAAAAACTTTATACAAAACTCCTTACTAATAGACTTAATAGTATATTTACCTAATACACTATTCTATCTTCATACAACTATATTGTCCTTCCTGGTAATAGTACATTAATTTCAATATATATTTTAAACAATACTATAGAAGATGCTTTCTGCAACTCTAAATAACTTTGGCTACTATTACAAGACATAAATAAGGCCTATGACTCTGTCAACTCTAATCTTTTTGAAAAATCCTTATTACAACTACAAATGCCCCAACACCTTATTAAAATTCTAACTGATCTTCTTACTGATTACCATAATCATATTATAACCAACCTGAGACTTACAAACTCTTATACAATTAAAAATAGCATTGATCAAGAAGAGACAATTACACCACTCTTCTGAAGAATTTACTCTAATCGTCTTATTAGTAAAAATGCCAACTACTTTCATGGATACACCTTACATATCATATGGAAAACTTACCTCTCTTCACCATAACTACAAAACTTACAAACCTCTATATCTGTACTGGCATACATGAATGATATCCTCTGGATAGCACAGTCCAAAAATGAACTTAAATCAATTACCAAAATGGCATCATTCTTCTATTACATGGCAGATATACAAATTAATCTAGCCAAATCTATTCTGATTTCTAATATATCATCTACTGCTGAAATTTTTTTCTTTGATTTATTAATTAAACCTATTCCAGCTAACCAACTATTCAAATTCTTGGGCTACTAGTTTACACTTAATGAATCTATGTCCAAACAAAACCAGCTAATTCAAGCTAAAGCAACCCAACTAATCAATATTACTAGTACTAAAAAAATTACTGAAAAACAAATAGTATATATCATTAATACAGTAATTATACCAACTATTGAATACAGACTACACAATACTATTCTCTCATACTCTATATGCAATAGCATATTAGCCAAATATCTTACTATAGCTAAATATAAATTCAACTTATTCAGATTTTTTCCTAACAACTCTATGCTTAACCCATATTTATACAATATTCATAACATTTGGGACATCCAACTGCAACATCACATCACTAATTTTTAACAATAGATTAATGATCCTAATATTCTTGGCACAACAACTAAAATTAGGCTGCAACAACTTTAAAATAATCTCTGGTTTACTACTAATATTTTTCAACATAACCAACCTATTATTGATAGATACAACAAACTTATTCTCAATTTCAAAATTATTCAGTTGTTTCAACATCTCAACATTACAATCTCTGCTCATTACAATTTATTATAGCCAAATACTATATACAATATATGCCAACCAATTGAACCTATACTTATATAATATCTAAAATATATTACTTTTAAAAAACAATTAAGAAAACTTAATATCCTTTATTTAGAATAACTATATATTGCTGATAACAGTATATTACTTAAATGGCAACATCTTTTACTAAGACTACACCAACTACCAAAAGGAAAACAACCTTTATGGTTTATCTCTCTTGAAAACAAAATCATATCAGATAAATATTACAGAACTATCTTACCTTATTTTCAATTACTAGTACCAATTCTTTTGTATACAATATATATCCTATTGTCAAAAAACAAAAACTCTGGCTCTTTACTTATCATTTTAATAATGAAGAAATTATTATTAGCAAAATTCACAAATATATTTCTGCCTCTAATTCATTCTTGATTACATATTGGAAATCTAATATTAATTTAGATTATGACTAATATTACCTACTCCCATCTATCGAATACAAACCATGTACAAAATGCTATTTTAATTCAAACAGAATTAGCCAAATATGTACTACTAACACATCAGCAATTATTTCTGCAACATTTCTAGTTAGAAAAACCTCCAACAATCTTAAACTCAATACCAATTATATTGATCTTATATACTCAATAGCTATTAAACATTCTTTATACATACCTCCTATACCTTCTGATATTATTATATACAACTCTAGCATTTTAGAAATCTTTAAACCAAACAGCTACACTCATAAGCTTCAAGACATTTATTTATCTAATTCTACAAATAATATCTTTACTTTTTATACTGATAGTTCTGTTATTAATATTAGACCAGAACAATGTTCTATAGTTATTGAATAGGTTCAAATCAATAAACAAAATCAAATTATCTATAAATTTTCAGCCCAAGTTTGTTTATGGCCATCATCTTATAAAGCTGAATTAGTCTCAATTATATCTGCAATTTCTACTACACCTTGCAATTCATCTATTAGCTTATACACATACTCACAATCTGTTATTTTAAAATTTTATACACTATCGAACCAATTACAAAACTCTAACAAGTTATTTAAATTTAGCACATAGCCTTTATAACATACCTTACTTAATATTATAAAATCCTTTAATCTTCAAATTACCTTTTACAAAGTTCAAGCCTATACTGATAATCCTTTTAACAACCTCACAGACTCCTTAGCAAAATAACATATACTTCTCATCTTTAATTATACTAATATTCATAACTCTTATCATATTCTTCAATGGGAACAAAACTTTATCAAACTACCAACTAGATATTTTATCAAAAATATATACAAAGCATATATACTAGTAATGTGGTCTTCACAAAAAAGAAACAGTGAACAGTCTTATCTAAACTACCTTATAGACTGAACCTCTTTTTGGCTTTATCTTAATCATAACCAAAAACCTACATCTTTTTACACCAGCTTTAAACTTAATCAACTCAAAGCTTTTAAATCTAAATTCTTACTAAATAAGCTATCTACTCAATTTTTTCTTCATGACAGATATTCACATATCTTTACCAATACTAATTGCTTTAAATGCAATTTTTCTAACTCATCTACACACTGGTGTACATGCTCTAACACACATAATATTCTCCTTAATATCATTTATACATCTGTTAACCAAATACTTTCCAAGACTGAACTAGACTTATCACCTTTCCAACTTCAAGAACTAGGTTCTAATATATATCATTATTCATGCTTTGATTGCATACTATTTCAACATAATTTACATTTTATAAACATTACATTTAAAGGACTTATACCTAAATTACTTATTGAAGTTGTCTGCAACTTTAATATATCTTCACAATTAGCTTCACAAATAGTAATTCAAATACTTTTACACATTAATGAACAAATTTACAAACTAATTTGGAAACCATACTGCATTAACTTTTCTAATTGGAAAAAATATAACCAAATTCCACCAAGATACAAAAATAATATTAGCAGCACTGATATACAATATCCAATTATAAAGTCTCCAAACAACATTACCAAGCTTATACATACTCATGCCTATGCAGCATTGCAGATCAACTTCATTTACAATCCATTATATGCCTACCAATTGGTTAAACAATTAGAAAACTCAGCATCAAGTCAATTCTCTGGATTAAATACAATATTCCTTCTAACTATATACTAACACCCCAAATCTAGATGGGCCTTGATCATTATAGTTGGTTTAGGTTACAAATAAACTAGTCTGAGCTCTAATTCTTGCATGTAATTTTTATTTTGCTACCAACAACCTTAGTTTATTTTAGTACTCCTGTACTAAAATATACAGTTAAAATTATTAATAAAGATATAAGCAAGGCCTTATCTTAATACCAAAAAAAAATCTTTAGAATATCTTTTACAAATCTTATCTATATCCAAAACACAACAATACAAACTCTCACAACTACATTTAATTATAACAAAAAAATACTTTATTTAACAAAAAATACATTTAATATTCTTCTTATAAACTAATTGTTTTTAAACTTCTAATATTTCAATACTTAACTCAAAAAGTTGCAATATCAACAATTGAACATATCTTCTATTCTACTTTACTTCTTAAACATATTGGAAAGCCAAAATTAAAAACTGGCTTACTAAAATATGGCAACTATTTTTTCTTCCAAATACATTCTCTAAATTTTTACTAAAAACAAAAAATTTTTTTTTATTTTTTAATTCTTATTTTTACATAACTCTATCATTTATCTCTTACTTAATAACTTATTAAATTTATTATTAACTAATATTTCTATAACAACAAAAACAATATATGATATTCTTCAATTTAATATCTCTTCTTCTTT